GAACACTGCAGTGTCCTTTTTTCTGAGTCTCATCCAGCTCTATGTCTAGATATTTTCCTTTGTTGGTAGTTTGTCTTGTTTCCTGATGAAACATTTGATTGTCACAGAATAATTCTCAGCAGTTGTTTGAGTTGTAAAACTCAACTAGTTTAAAGAACCCCAAGGTGAATGTCATCTTCATAGGGAGAAGGTCAGTGCGCTGACTGCAGGGCCTTAATTTGCCGTTTAAGTTCATGCTAATAAGCATGAACGACCTATAAATGTTAAGTGTGAAACAAGATTAGATCGAGTAGCGCTGTAAAACTGCACAAGAACTTGCCCAAGGTTTTTTAATTCCCAGCCTTTAAAAACTACAGGGGGTGTGCTCTATAGATTGGAATCACAGATACAATAGCTTTACTTTATGTTATTGAATTTAAAGATTTGCCAATAGTGATTTCGTATGGTTAAATATGTTTTTGCTCACACACAAACTCATAAACACGGATTTCATAAAGCCAAGCTTCGGAGAAAATCAACTTTTTGATATGCTGTACAAATATTGAAAGGGTATTTGAAGGAAGTTTTCCTGGGGAAGATTTAAAGAAGAAACTAGAGAATCTACTCTATGGCATTAATATCCCCAGTGTTTCCAGATAGAAATAAATTAGTAGTATTACATACCTATGTTAAGTAATCTCACTTAACTCAGTAATTATCTTCTGATAATCAAATCATTATAATGTGATATTAGAAAGTCATCAATAGCTGGTTTCCCAAGTGACACAAGGGGTATTTCATTTCCATAGATAACCACAAGTATGATTGCTAATACTCTAAAAATAGAGCGAGGTAGAATAATTATGATTTACTGCACTGTAATTGTTTTAGAAGTTAATTTTTCCAAATGGACTGTGGTTCACTTGAAGCAATTTATATTTGCATTGAAAACAGAGTCGTAATATGTTTGTCTTGCTTGTGGCTGTCTGTGCTTGACTTTCTACCACTACATTATTTCTGTGTCTGTGGGGAGGGGGGAATGACAGCCCTCCATGCTGGGTGACGGATCCAGAAACTCAAAATGGAGGAGGCTCGCGAGAAAGTCAACTTCACAGATTGAGGGTCCAGACCACCTCAGACTCACCATGATTGGTGTACAAAATGTTATTTATGTCTATGATACTTCTAGATAGCACTCTTAGGCAACAAATTTGAATGTACTGTAATATATTTTTCCTTCATTATTTTTAATTTTGAAAAATTTAGGGGGAATGGGAGGGTAAGCTGTCTTGTTTTCCCCTTCCCCTTGAATCCGCCAATGATTATGATAAATGATACATTTTTATATAGCATTCATTTCGTTGATATTTAGAAATCAAAACTTACTTTAAATCTGCTTCATCAATTATTATTGACAGATATTTTTTTGTATTCAAGTTGCTCCAAGATGCATTATCTCCTTAGTATACCAACTATGCCAGAGGCACTTGCAGTGATAGAATTGTGAAGGGGGTGGGTGGATTCCTGCATAATACTTTCTATAGTCATATAATTGCAGATATAAAAAAGTCTGGAAAAAATTGAATGAAAAAAGCATCAATGTAATTTTCTCAATGTTTCAATCAATATTTATGTATTTATATCATTAATTCTTATTGTAATATAATTTTTAAGAAGAGTTACAATAATATTAGGTGACATTTGAGTTATATTTATATTTTTTGTTACATTTTGTCACATTTTGCAAAACAAAATGAAAAGATGTATTGGGTATTTATTTACAATAGAACTTGATAGTGCTATTTCATATCTAGTAGTAATTATATGATAGGGATGTCAGAAATTATTAGGATGAAGGTAAATTCTAACAAAAATATGACATTATTGACAAGTGAGTCTGCCACTGTGAATACCTTTTGATAAGGCCAAATAAAATTAATTGTTAGTTTCCCACGTCCGGGATTTGACCATTTTTCTGGTGAAGGTATTTATTAGTTGCTATTTGGTGTTCTATGAACTAGTGTTAAACAGGCTAATAAATATTGTGTTTTTTTTATAAAAGAAGTAAACTTAATGTAAATTTATATATTTCGATTTTAAGATTTGACAAATAATTTCAAATCAACAATATTTATATTTTCCAATGAGGATATTGGGTCTTTTAAATATTAAATAACATGAGGCTCCAAAATTTGCAGTGGCATATGTAGGGGGTGCGCGGTGGTGCATTCCCCCCAAAAATTCCTCGCCACCCCTATTTCAAGACTTCTAGAAACGCCACTGATATTTGATGTGGGTGGAAATGTGAAATATGATTTACTGAAAACGTGATTTACACTATCATATAAATTAATAAAACAATAGAAAATCAAACCCCTGATTTATTGTAACTACTGAAAACATGGTTTACATTTAATAATAGGTTATATACAGTAATACTCAAGGGGAAAGATAATTTATATTATTATATTAGACTAGTAATATACATTATTTCAGGAAGCAAATTCCTGATTTATTATTTCAAATGAATACATGATTTATAAATTAATAATTATACTTGCAGTGACTGAGTTATTAGTCTTTTGCAAGATGAAGCCATGTAAATGTAAACGTATCAATATATATATACCAGTAATACACTTTCATATCTCATATTATTCTATAAATTCTTTAAATATAAAAAAAATTAATACACTTAAAAACAAATATCTGATTCATTATACTATCAATATATCCTGTACCACTTTAGAAAATCAAATACCATTATCTCAAATTATTATATTATCAATATATACATACCAGTAATATAATGTATAAAGTAATTCCCTGATTATCTCAAATTGAAAACCTTATTTATAATCACATGTAATATTTATTGTTTTGTTATTAATATTACATCAGTAATACACTTTAAAAATCAAATCAAATTCCTGATTCATTATCTAAAATGTAAAAAAAAACAAGATTAATATAATTATATCAATATACACTGATAATATACTTTAAAAAATTAGTCCAACTCTCAATGAAATATTACTATCAATGTATACACCTGAGTATATACACTTTAGGAAATCAAATCCCTGGTTAATTATCTCAACAGTGGATCCAAAAATTCAAAATAGAGGGAAGGCCAAGGAAGGGATTTTACAGGGTCTATACCAGCTCAGCCCACCTTCTCTTGGGGTTTTTTTTTGGCTATGGCACTTCTAGATGGCCAGAAATGGCACTCACATACTTAAATATTTGAATATAATTTTTTTTTCCTCCATTTAAAAAAATTTTCATATATTTAGTGGTGGTGGGGGGGTGGGGTGCTCCCTTGAATCTGCCTATGCTCAAATGAAAACATAGTAATGTTATATCAATACTGCAGTACATATAGAGTACAACAGTTTTATGTCATGATACCATGTGATACTACTCCGTTGCTATCGGCGGCACAAAATGTGTTCAACCGGATGCCATTTTCTGCACTGACAAACCATAGATCCCAATTTCTAACGCAATTATTAAGATGTTATATATTTTTGGGACTGGTACCATACTCTGAACTTGGTGACTCAAAAAAAGTGTTTATTTTTAAACATTGAATATTTTCTTTTGTTTAGTCTCCATTTCAAGTATATTGCCTACATCTTTTATTGGATTCCTGTTAACTGCTACTAATTCGGAGGATGACAGTAAAACACCAGGAACCTTTGAGGTAAGTCTACTGCTAGAAGTAATAATTATTATAATATAACATTGGAATATTCAGTTTTGTACGTACCTCCTCCAGTATGTAGTGCTACCTAATGGGTGAAGGATGTATTTTTTTAAAAATTAGCTACAATGTGTGAGGTGTGAGCTGTGATTTATCAGCATGGGTTAATGTGTTTTTTTTTTTTTAAGTTGAAAGACTAGAATGAAATAATGTATTAAGTTTTGGTAAAATATGTACCAAAACAATTAGGTGAAAGTGCACAAGGTTCGTATTTTCATACAAATAGGCCCTAACATTTAAAGCCTATAACTATATTGTATTCATGAATTTAATACAGTTTGTTTATTTTATTAATAGCTTTTTGATAAAAGATGACCTATATGTTAGCATCGTTTTGTACTCTTGTTCTCACAGTCTGTAAGGTTTTTCTGTATTTTTTTTTTAATAGCTTCTAGATTCAAGAGGATCTATGTTTGCACCATTTTGCACTCATGCTGTCACTCATACGTCAAATACAATGCGCTCACGTATCGGTTTTCGCTGGACTGCTCCATCAGAGGTTGATGCACCCTGTGTTCTATTTAGGTATGAAGCAAATTCAAAAATATCATTTCTGTAAAGTCTAAGCTTGTACAATATCAATTACTATAGGCCTATGGGAGTAGAATTATAGAGAAATGGGGTTACAGATTACAGGAGGTGGGGTTATTGTAGACGGTAGGGCAGATTGAGGGCCAGAAATGGGATATTACAGGAGATCGAGTGTTCATTAAGAGCATCTGTTACTATGTGCTCACTCATTGGTTTTTGCTAGACTGCTCTGTCAGAGGTTGATTCACCCATATGCTATTTAGGCATGTAGCATTATTCAAAAATATCATCTCTACAAATTTTAAGCATGTAAAATATTAATTACTGTAGGCCTATTGGGAGTAGAATTATAGAGAAATGGGGCAGTTACATGAGGTGGGGGTTACTATAAAAGGTAGGGCAGATTAGGGGCCAGAATTGGGGTTATTACAGCAGATGGAGTGGTTATTGAAAACATTTCTCCCTTCTGCTAATTTACACATAAGTCTTTTTTACAAGGAAATTATCTGTTCTCACAAAGGTTTTTGTTAAGTGAAAATCTTCTAGTGAGTGATAACAAAACAATTCTTTAAAAAAATCTAAATTGTTCAAAAGGGGAGAGAGTTTTTCTAGTTTAACAGTCAAGCTCATATTTCTTTTTTTCCTTAATAACTAGTTAGGTATATAACCAGGTGTGCTGTCTGATATGATGTCAAAAAATAAAGAGATAAATGAGAAAATCAAAAATAACTTTCATAACTTCCTATATTAATATTGTAGTTTACTTGGTTATGATTTATTGGTATTTGATAAATTCATCATATATACATGTATAGGCCTACACTCAATAAAGTTATTTTAGAAATTACATATTTTTTATGATAGCAGTTCTACCAATTTTACTCTCCTGCAATCATGTGATGAATAATTTATTAGGTGCTGATTCGTATACAGATGAAGACAACTGCTTCATTGCTAAGCCATTGTCAAGAAAACATGTTATTGAGTGTTTGTGTTGATGCAGTACTGATGACATGAAGGTGCTGATATGAAGGCGATGGTTTTTGATAAACCACGTATTCATCATCTGTATATATTCAGTAAAGTTATTTCCGAACGTAAATATTTTATAAAAGTAGTTCAACCAATTTCATTCTCATGAAGATTCCTATAATTAGAGGATGAATGATTTATAAGGTGTTGATTTTTAAACTGATGAGATTTTTCATTGCCAAGTCATTACTTGTCAAGAAAACATTTTGTAATTGAACGGTTTGTGTTGATCCAGTGCTAATAATATAAGGTGCTAAAAATACCAAGTTGTCACTCTACGTATTCACACTTAAAGCTGTCATAGACCCAGCATCACTCCAGCTGACGCCGTCTTTAAAGCACTTTCTGATTCCCAAAATTCAACACTGCTAACTATTGTCAAGTACTTCATTATAAATTCATATCATCTATTTGCTTCCATGGTGATACAATTGAAAGAGCCACAGTTAACTTGGAAAGACCTTATTAAACAATGTATCATCTAATGTTTCAAAGCGTATTGGTGTCATCTGACGTATTAAATACTTTTTTCCCTTGTATACACTTAAAATGTTAGCAAATGCTTAATTTTTCCTGTTTTTGATTATTGTTGTTGTGTCTTGTCTAATTGTAATGTTCAAATTCTAACTTGTTTACAAGTTTTTATAAAAAGATTAGTGTTGGTAAGATTTTACATTTTTTATGATATTAAGACTTACTGCTGGTTATATTTTAAGTGCCCTTGAATGGAGTAGACTAAATGTGATTTGGAATGAAAAATTACCCTTATGACTTCCAAATACTTAAAAGGATATGTTACTCAAAGATGTATTTTCCCTTGCTAATGTCAAAAAAATCATAAAAATTAATTTGGAAATAAACTTGCTCATATTGTAATAGCATATAAATGATTAACTTATGCATAAAAATTATTGAATTTAAAAAATGTGTACCCTGATTTTTAAACCAAAAAATTATAATAAAAATAATAAAATACTTCCAGTGACTGGAAGTGTTTCTATCATTTTTCGCTGTAAACTGATGGGTAGACATTTTTTAAATACACTAATTTCTATGTTCAAGTTGATAACTTTTATGTTACTTCAAAATGGGCAAGATAATTTCAAAAAATATTTTTTTGATTTTTTTTGGTATTTAGCATGGGACAATACATCTTTAATGTTTGTCTTGAAATTTTACCTTTAATAATACTACTATTCAAAAAGACACATAGCCAAACCCATAACAACCTTGTTCTTCCAATGTATAATATCGGGCAGAGAGAATGAACATTTTTATATCGATCATCCAAAAGCTGGAATAAACTAACACAAATTAAAAATTAATTTCAAAGAGATGTCAACTTTTTTATTTCAAAATCATTTAAAATAATGTTTAACTTCAATAACTCTGTTCTTTATTTTATTTTATTTTTTGGATTCATTTTATTAACTGCATATATGTTTCTCGTCACTTTGAAAAACAGTACTATAGTACTGAAAGTACCTACAGTGTAAAGAAAGATTAAATTAAATTAAGTTAAAATACCACAGCATTTGCAAGAAATATATTCAGAAGACATTGACACTTCAAGTCAAGCCAATTCTTGCATAATTAATCACATATAATTTGATCAATCCACATGTAATTTGATCAATTCATCATTTATGAACCTTGCTGTGTAACCTGAATTTGTTATCATTTTCAATATTCAAACCAAAATTGGTCCAGCCAGTTTTGGCTGCCAACAAGTGAAAGGGGGAATTACAGAATATAAGAAATTAAAATTTAAAAAAATCTATAAAACAAAATAATTATTTACTAGTAATGAAATTAGTAAATAAATGTTATAAATCTTTGTCTACACTCCCTAAGCCTTGTGATATAAAGTTTTTTCATTATTTCATATAAAGGGGCCCTAAATATCAGCTTACTGTCTAGAATAAACTAGAAGGGTCACAGTCTAAAAGTATGGTTTAAAATAATTGGTAATATAAATGATGAATATAATAAAGACCATATTTTAAAGTGATACTATCATATCACAGATGTATATATAATGATGGAATTTACTGCAGTAAAGTAATGCTGTAATAATGATGAAAAATACATCAGATTTAATACATTATGTATAAGAACCTTGGATTATATATATAAATAACCTGGAATAACATTGTTTAAGATTATTTTTATGATTTTGTGTTCTCATAAACGTTTTATTGGTTAGTATAATATAGGTCACTTCTTGGTTTACTTTTATTTATAGCGCATTGAGACAGTCTTTCATATAAGGTGCTAAAGTAAGACTATTATTTCATATTTCAGATTTTCTAATCTTGATACTATTGTGTAGAATTACTATCTAACTAAATATTTTGGGCACAAATTACAAAAAAAAGATTAAAAATAAAATGAATTTGGAATAGATAGGTACTGTCTCTTATACACATCTATCTAATGTTATGATAGTCACCTTGAAAGCGAGAGGTTCCAGGTTCGAATCCAGCCAGAGAAACTTATTTTTCATACAAGTGAAAACCAGGAACTTTTCTTTGCAGTGCTATGCTTGATACCATCATAGCATCATGTTCCTATCTGAGCACTGTTATTATTATCTATTGTATCTATCTATTTTTTTATTGTGTGTACGGTGCTACACTGCAAACCTAATGTAATATATATTTTAACTATATGTTTTTATGTGTATTGGCATCATAATGGTGGACATAAGGAGGCTCAATTCACGCAGCAGAGCGATGAGTGTATTTCATGGCATTGTAATAATGTGAAGCACTCTGATACATTGGTGTGAGCGGTATTTAAATATAACATACAGGTAGACCTGATATCACCTTAGTATATGGTCTGTGCCTTAATTGATGAAAAGTGACCACAATGCATAACGAATAGCTAAGTATTTTACATTTAGATCCAGTTAACTTGAACTGGTAATCCAATTTAGTTTAATAAGTTACCATAAGAGACTCCAAGATTATTTTTTAATTTGCATAATCGTAACTTTTCAGCCTTATTTGATTATTATTTGCAGTAATTTAATTGTTAAACTATAGAGTAGTAGACTGTTGCAACTGTAACATTTCACCATGCAAAAAGAAACAACCAAAAATAACAATCCCAAAGAAAATAATTTAATTAAATAGAATATATAATATTTAATAATTTATTTTGTTAAAATAATAAGGAGGTGGCAGTGAAGACATCAATTGGATATCTATATATTATAACTAGAGCAGTCACTCCCTAGAGAGTATATCTCCGCCCTGTTTATGAATACGATAGGCGATTCCATTAAAATGCCTGAACACCAAACAATACGCAGGCCGTATATGATGGCCGATTGCATTATTTTCTTTTATGCTCATGGGCAAAAAAAAAAAAAAAATTCTGTGACCTTGTCTTTTGACCCTTCCTAAAAATTAATCATCTCTTAAGTTATTATGTACCATTTCATTACATTTTATGGTGCGCAATCCCGTAGTTTTTTTGCATAATCTTCCTAACATATAGACAGGCAGTGGTAAATGCGTAACCTCCTTTGTTGGACGTAATTATCCAACTATGCTACTATGCACTGGAGAGATGAAACACCTATGGAACTCATCGTCAACTGCCTGGGGATGAAGTGCCTTGTTGAAGGACACTTGCAAGCGAAATGCACAGCGAGTGTATTTTCCCAACCAAAACTTTTTTCAAACAAGAAAATATGTAAAATCAGATATTTTCTCAAAAAGTGCATTTTGAAATTTGGAAAACTCTCATAAACGTGTCCATATACAGATTATTGCATGGTATAAAAAGCTTTTAATTAACTTCTTCACAGAGGTGAAAATTATTTAATATTTTCACGTAATTCGATTGATGAAAATGCATTCTAAACATTCTGTATTTCAAGGGAGTGATCAAGATTAATGTTATTGCTTTTAACCTCGCAAACTCACAATATCAATTTCAGGATTTTCTGTGTGTCATGTGATAAAATCTATTTGATTGACATAAGATGCACATGATGTCTGAGTGCTTTGGTCAATAAACTGGCTTTTCTATCAATTTAGTGATATATCACAAGGAACAAAATTGGAGGCTATTAAATCAGAAGCTACTAGTGGAATCAGTTATGTATTAAAACCTTACTTGCTTTGTTGAAATTTTCAGATAAATTAAAGTATATAAAAGCTTTTTCTGTATATTGGTCACTGTCTAAATTAAGACCAATTTTTCTGTGTTCCTAAATTAACATATGTCTTTTATCTTCATTATAGTATTCTAATTAGCAACTAAAGTTTCTAAAGACCATGGAAACCCCAGTTCCAAAAGTGGTCTTCAATTGAAGGTAGACCTGTATTTTCATCACTTGCATAAAGGAAATATCCCAGTCTTTCAAAAAATGTTTCTTTTTGATTTTATAACATAGTTGTGCTCTATACAAAATTATTCACAATCAAATAATGCTACTAAGTAACAGAATGATCTTAATGCATCGGATCAAATTTCACTGTTTGTTTTTGAAAGCTCTTTAAATATTGGAGATGGATTTCATGTCCTGCTTTTTAATTAAGGTGCACATATTAGCTTTAGCTTGAGATGTGTTATTCGTAGTGTACCTATTTTATTATTAGGTTCATATTTGTCACTATATTGAAGGACACAAAGTGAAGGGCACAGTGAGGTGTTTCAAACCTCTGACCTCAATGTTGAAAGCACAAACCATGTCAACCAGTTCACCATTCGTTCTCATGAAAGTGTCACCGTAGGCAATTGCTCCTAATAATGCAACTTTTTATTAATTGATTTTTTTCTTTCAAGGAAGATGCTGTTAATGCTCAAAACATTGTATGCTGAATTGTGGAGATATTACCGTACATAAACTTGTTCTTCATTTAATTCTTTCCATTTTTCATCTTGTTTTTCAACTGGAGTGGTTAAAAGTTTCACTAGCAGAGATGTGACGTTAAAATTTGTTGGATTTTTTAACTAACTACACATTAAATGCAAGTAAAGTTAAATTCGAACACATTAATTGGCCACTACGGTACTGTATTCACTACTTACACCACCGAGTAAACCCATCCATCCATTAATAATCAGTGTGTACGGCTGTCATCTATTTTTACCATGAACTTGCATTAGGCATATCTTGTCTACATCAGAGAATGATTTGAAAAGTGATACCAACATGTCAATAAATCACTTTTAAAGTGCCTACCCATGGAGCAGGCTGTGTCTATACGTCAAATTTCACACTTTACGTGGAGCAATTTTGTCCATGCAATTTTGTCCATGCAACATTGCATACGCAAATTGCGTTGTGTAAAGTAGTCTACAAAGACAGAACAAAGTTTATGTTTTTATATAATTTATTTTTTTGCCTGTGGGCTAATCAGCCAAAAATAGTTGTTAGAAGATGTACATTAACACATACAGGTATGCAAGAAACATAGTCATCGTGTACTGTACTGCCCAGGGAAAGGAATGGTTTGTTTATCCAAAATGGTGGGAAGAATCTAGATCGGTATAATTCCAACCCATATGCAGAGAGTTTATTAATTATTATGAGTCCACATTTCCACAAATAGAAATAAAGCTTTATTTGAATGTTTAATAATAAAGAAGGTAATTTACATTAGGTTCACACTAGATCAGGAGCTAACCGTTAGCTCTAACTGTTAACACGCGTGGGAATGCCCCATTGGTTTAAGCTAACCGTTACCGGTTTGCGCTAACCGTTACCGGTTAGCGAGTGGTATAGGTTAGCAAGTTGACTTCATTTCTATTGTTAGCCAATCAGACATAGGCATTTCTTATTGGCTAGTGATCCCACCGTCATTTTCTTGATATCTCCATTCTTGTATTAACGCAAGGGTGAGCGCGTATGTTTGTAATCTGGATCCTACTGCAACTATTAGCTGGTGTGTTTGAACATACTGTAGCCTTAATGTTTTGGAAATGAATTTTATTACTGGGGTCACTAATCTACATGGAAAGACTTATAAAAATGGCTAGAATTCAAACATTGATAGTTTTGGGTAACATTAGTAAATGAACTTAGAGAAAAAATGAATGTTGTAAACAATATCATATCTTAGATTTATTGAAATACCTTTTATAATGAAACTACGATATATCCCACCAGTGAAAAGAAAGATAAATTAGTACCCAGAAATACCGGGATGGTGTCTGGCAGGGAATAGTTTTACCTAGGCCTTGATTAGTTTTTTTTTGTTAAGATTTAATTATCCTTTTATTTGAAAGGGTTATAAGCTCTGCTTCCAATGTAATTCCTTGCATATCATTTTCATATTTTCGTTTATTGTTTTAGGTTTACTTTAAATTTCTATTGTAATCATACATGTGAATTTGTTAAATAACTTGAAATTGAATACCTTTTAATTCTTATATTAGGAGACATTATGATACCAAAAACATTTTATAATTACGGTAATTACTATAATTATGATAAAGTAATTGTTATTTAATTTCTTTTCGAACCAAACTTTGATTTCCAAATAGTGTAGTGTACACTATCAAAAACAAATTTGATATGTGTATTTGTTATTTAGGCACAAATAGAAAAAGAGGATAATATTGGTAAATTCGAATACTGGTGTGGTACTAAAAACGAAATCCTTTCCGAGCTACTGGGGCTCATAGGGCTGGAGCTGGGATGGGGTGGCTATGGACTGTATAAGTTAGCGCTTGTAGATACTACATTATGACCTAAAGCTTTTATCAGTATCATATCGGAGCATTCAAAAACCATCAAGATACTGAAAATGAAAAATGTATGAAACAACAAAATTCTTGAAAATAAAAATTTTTTTTTTGGGTACACCAAAAATTTTAGCTTACTTGCTAAGTTTTGGCTTCTGCTGTGATCACACAATGATGCAATTATTATTATTATTGAAGAAAAATTTTATTGAAACAATAACATTTTCTATAATAGCAATCCATATCAGATGACCTATATAGATTGGCTCACACGACTTGTGTGTTCGGAAAAGTAGCCAGCTGGCGGTTTCAGCGCAACTAATTTGAAAATGTTTGATATACATTGTCATATGTAGGTTGAAGAACAAATCCTGTCCATGCCGCGAATGAAAAACAAGTTTTGAATGTGATTGCAATAACAAAAACATAGAATTTGCAATAACATAATACTGTATATATGAAATTCCCAGAACTTTAATTACAGGTCTGCTATATGTAGGTAATTTTCCACTCAAAAAGAAATTTGGAATTCAGTTCAATGATAAAGCAGCCATGTCTGATATTAAAATTTGCATGTTAGACGTACATTCATTTGGCCATGGATTCTATAAAATCAAAATAAATTAGATTCATATCAACATGAGTACGGTATGATTTAAGAAAATAGTCGTAATGTTTCCATATTCATTAAAATTATATACAATGTGAAACTGCTAGTTTTTTTTTTGGAATTGAGTACTGGCATTTTATGCATTGTGATATATCTGTTGCATCCAAGTTCATAACCAAGATTCTAAGGTGGAGGTTTACCTATGGTATACTGTAGGATAGCCAGGGATGTAGATGGTTTCTAGGTACCCTGGTTGATCAATGCTAAAAAATGCTTCCATGGTGGGGTCGGGGCAAAGTTCAAACTAATATAAATTTAGCTATAGAGTATTACAGTGTTATGTCACGATACCACGTGATACTAATCTGATACTATCGGCGACACAAAATATATATTATTTTTTTTATTAATGCTTGCAGCTGTAGACAGATGTTCATTTTATAGTTAAATCAATAAAGTTTCTTATATTTTTACATAATGTGAAATATTTGATTTGCTTTCAGAGCTGTTGTGATTCAGAGCAGAGGAGTCTGGTATAGTGATGAGGGCGAACTCAGCCTTGAAATATGTCCAGAGGGTAGGTTTGAATTTCCATACAGACCTCACTTTTTGTTTTAGCATGATATACCATAAAACATCAGATTGAAACCCAATACTCAGTTTGTGGCCCATTCTCTAGTACTTACCCACCTTAAAAGTTTTAAAAAGTTAACCAATAATAATGACCGACTATTCTATTACTTAATGTAGTTGATTAATAAAGGAATGCCAAAACTACAATACCATGTTTTCTTATGGGAACTTCTTAACCCAACTCTTTGTTTTTTCGCCTATAAAATTGATGATTATCAGATTAAATCTGTTGTGTATGTGAGTTAGAAAGTGATAAAAAGTCATTCAATATAGCCTTACCATTAATAAAGGAAACAAATACATTCAAATATATTGCGTGAACAATTGAAAGTGTAGTAATTGTTTAAAGTCTAGTAAACTTCCTCAAGAAATATTAAAGGCTATTGGTATCCTTCCTGTTTTTCAATGCAGTCATTATTCTGTGTTGATATAAGGACACCAATTTATCTGCATTATGATGCTGTACCATGCATTATCTCCTCAAATAAATATCTATTGTGTATGATAACTTTTAGAGTTGTTTATATAGCAGACTATGAGATGAAGAATAGTCCATCTAAGAACTTAAATTGAACCTTTGATTTCGGCATTATTGGTTTATTAATCTTTTTTGTTAACAGGCTAACAGGATAGAGTGACCATGCAGATCAATTTAAAATATAGGCCAAATATAAAAAAATATTATATCACATTCGCGTACATGCCTTTTATGGTACTGAAAAAAAAAAGGTTTTTTTTGAATTTTTTTTTTCTTTATTAAAATAGTAGGTATTGTTTGTATTATCTCAGTCATGTTTTACATTGAATATCAATGTACCAGCAAACAACCCAAGAGTGAAATTTGGCTGGAGCAAAATAAAAATTTTAAAAAAAGCCTCCCTCCCTCATCAATTTTCCAGCCTAATTAGGGTGATAAACTAATAATATTTTTTATAGAGCCTGAACTCATATTTCTGCTTCAGGCTTCATGAGAGTTCATTTTTGTCGTCTGTTACTGGGTGTTCTCTCATAGTAAATAGGATAATTTGACACTAGACGAAAAGAAGGAATAGTGTTGCCTGGTCATCCCCTAACGAGGGCGGATCCATGATTTGAAGCAGGGGTTCTACATTTATAAAAAGAACCAAAAAACAAGGGGAAGGAGGTGTCGAAAAAATGTTGATTCTTTGATGGCCGGAAATGAGCTTTCCCAACTTCTGAGGGGTCTGTTAATGACTTTCAAAGTTCTTCAAAATTCAAGGTTTTTCCCCTCTTGAAATGGGTTTAGTGATTTTATCTTATTCTTATACATTCTGGTACAGAAAAAAAATCAAAGACCTAGGCAATAATTATATTTCAGATTCATAATGATTCAAATGTATTGAATTCAGTTCCTAATTATAACATCTAGAATTCCCCATATGTTTTGACAGAACATTTTAAAGTACTACATAACAGGGAGTTCAAACATCCATGTTCTCCTCTCTGTCTACTGTAGAGTTCTGGCGAGAAACTGAGTTTTATTGATCTGATTAGTCTCCTAAAATAGTAATTATATGAGTAGGCATATTAAACATTGCCCAGAGAATGGAATTTATTCATTTATTATTTCTACAGAAGGGATCATTATGAATCACTGTGCGAAAGCATTAATGTATTAATCAATGTAGTACTAACTATAGGCAAATCCCAAGAGTGTGGTGTATCCAATGAAATAAATAGGAATTTGACATACATAGTACAAATTACAAGTATACTAGTTACAACTAAACAATTAAAAAATTATACCTACATAAAATACCTCAAGAAAACATACTTAATTTACCCAAAAAATAAAAAATATGTTTTACATGCAATAGGCTTCTCAATTCTCCCCATCACCTTTTACCTAAAGCCTCTTCATCTCTACGTTCCCCAATTCATTTCTCTCTTTTGCACACTCTTTACGGCTTTTGTTTCTTAATAATTCATTAAGTAAAACAAACAGTAATACAAAACAAAATAAGCATAAAAAGGACATAACTTGATTTTTAAAAGATACCATAATCTAATCAGTGATATATCAAATGAATAACAGTGTTTGTGAACATTTTAATATTTTGTGTTTGTGTTGGATATGAATAAGTTGTGTTTTTCTATTTCAATGATTTTAATATATTTTTTCTTGAGCATTTTTCTCTTATGTTAGCATTTTCTGTTAAACTTACTGTCATCTTCATATTATAGATGATGAAATCCTAAGTGGTCATTAAATTTTCAGTATCATTTATGTACCGGAAACTATGATTTTGACAAATTGTAAATGGTTAAAGTGGCAGTTATACAAAAAATTGACCCATGCTGTAGAAAGTGACATTATACATAAATTGACACTGCCATTGGTGAAATGGCAGTCATACATAGAAGTGGCAAATTATTTATGTTAAAGTGACGGTTGTACATAAACTTGACTCTGTACTATTGTTAAAATGACAGTTGTATAGATAAACACGACATTAGGTTGTTATAGTGACAGTAAACATGACACATTCCTATTGTTAAAGTAACATATACTTGACATATTCCCATTTTTAAAGTGACAGTTTTACATAAAATTGATGCATTACTATTGTTAAAGTGTCAGTTGTACACAGAAGTTTCACACCACAGAAATCAGTACTTCCATAGGCCTACTATCGTTAGAAGTAAAATAATCTCATGCAAAATTACTCATCTCTTGAAAATTCAGTATGTTTGCCATACAAACAATAAGAATGTCATTGTCACTCCAAAAATTTACGGCCATTTTATTCTATGTTTCACTTTTATTTAAGCATCAGCTGTATGTTTGCAGTATTTTACTATTGCATATTGTATTTTTCTGAAGTCACCTAGGCATCGGTTTTATAATAATCATAAATTTATACTTATATTGCAACATGCCTAAAATATGCTTTTCACGTTTTGAAGAAATATTATGCTTGAAAATCTTGAAAACCACAGTCCTGAGCTATAGGACTGATTGACATTTAATTTTCTTCGTAGATCTTGAGGTGCCACCAACAACACCTGTTGTCCCGGATAGACAGTGCTGCGCCTCTGGGTCTGCAAAGTATCACATGACATTTGTTGGAACATGGTCACCCCTATCGCATCCAAAAAATTACCCACCTGGTAAGTTTGTCTGAAGTATTACAATTACAAGAATTCATCTCAATATGTATCTTCCAAAGTAGAAAGGAATTAAGAGGTCTGTTATTATGTCAGTGAATACCTGGGAGCATGTATTTTGGCCCACATGCTGGGAGCTAGTACTAGCCACAAAATTTCTGATATTAAATTACATCATTAATACGTTTTTTGCCATCTGCATTATTTACTCATCTTGATGGTGCGCTTCAGTATACACTCAGACCAATGAGATATTTCATGATGTATCAAATGTAGATAGTCAACATACTTACAAATTGGGTTTGGGTATTTATTTCAATAAGATTAAGAATAAATTTTACTATGTAGAATTATGGTTGAATATTCATTTTAAGATTATGACCAAGACTAAGTGTTTACAATCATATTTGTAAAGCATTCAAGAAATCTTTATGTATGTGCATACACCTACTGGATTAATGACTGTTAAATGATTAATATGTATGACATTTATTTATACACGAGATTCATAGAACAGTTTGAATTAATGTCCTCACAGAACAGATTAATTATAGAATGTAATTAGAAAATTCCACTGTCTGAATTTATATCATGATGTTTGTGTCTGTCAGTCTGCACAAAAGCTGTCAATATGTAAATTTGCTTTATTTATAATGTGGATATATATAATATATATACACACACACACACACACACACACA